AGAGAAAGAAAGAGGGAGAAGGAGAAGGAGGGGGAAAGAAAGAAAGAAAGAGAGAAAGGGAGGGAGAGAGAGAGAGAGAGAGAGAGAGAAAGAGGGGGGGGGAGAAGGGAGAGGGGGAGAGAAAGAGAGAAGAGAGAGAAAGAAAGAGGGAGAAGGAGAAGGAGGGGGAAAGAAAGAAAGAGAGAGAGAAAGAGAGGGGGTGAGGGAGAGAGAGAAAGAAAGAGAGAGAGAGAGAAACAGAGCTAGGAGCGATGGTAGCTTGGCAGCCCTGCAGAACTGGGAGCTTAAGAGAGCATTTCATTTCATGAGTTTGTGAAGGCCAGTCCTGGAGAATGGGATGATTCAGTCCACATTTTCTCAAGCGGTCGCAGCTGTAGCCGGGTGAGCCAGAGCAGAAGGGGCTCCGAGGGCACCCCTGGCAACCAGCCAAGCCAAGTGGCGCCTTAGCAGGGATGTCGGGGAGAGGTCAACAGGGTGACACGCTCCAGGAAGCAAACTCTAATTTCCTCGGGCTCAGAACTGAGGAAAGAGAGAAGAAGATGGTAGAAAAGGGAGAGGAAGGGATGAGAGAGAGGGAGAGGGAGGGAGAATTTACCAACGCTTTTTTTTGCTTGCTCAGTAGGATGAGCTAAGGAGGGAAGGAACAAAGCACTCAGTTTGGTCTTTGAAAGAACTCAAAGGTCATGTTGCCTTTGTGCCAAGAATTGCCACTTTGGAGGTAGTTGATTCTTGGGTGGGAGACCACCAGAAGACTCTAAACTGTAAGGTGGACTGCAGGAGGGAGGGAGGGAGGGAGGGAAGGAAGGAAGGAAGGAAGGAAGGGATTTCATGACTTTAGCAACTTTAAAACATTGACTGGGGAATTCTGGGAGTTGCCCACACATCTTAAAGTTGTCAAAGTTAAGAAACATTGGCCTAAAACCAACAGCCAATCCTTCTGTACTATGGCTTAAAAATACTGCAGGGACCCATCCGGGTAGGTCGTCTAATGTCCCCCTGGCTGCCAATTTGTTTCCCATCAAATACCAAGTGCTGTTTATCATCCTATACAGCTGCCTATGACTTACAGAGAACTTTCCCCTCCACGTGAACCACCCGGCCCCAATTTCTTGAGTTCGTTTGTGGTGATTCACCTATGTTTGTTCCTGATTTATCTGGTGGCAATGGGAGGCCAATTCTTTCCAAGCTGAGAGGCCTCTTATCATGGTTGCTCCGAATTCTGCAACAAACCTGAATCTAATTTTGATCTGCTATCGTCATGGCTAAAAAATGTCAACAGTTGGCCACATGTGAAGTATAACAAATAAATTATTGTGGTGTTGTTCTTTTCATCCCAATTTCTCTTTTCGGTTGCCTCTATTTTACACTGCCTACTGCAGCATGGGGGGGGGGGGGAATTAATGTCTTCCTCTTTTTGGGGGTGCAGGGAGAGGCCACACCAGATCTCATGAAAGGAGTGACTGGCGGCACGACAATGGGAGGTGTGCTCAGTCCCTTTTTCAGAGATCACCAACCAGCAGGTAATCTCCATCCAGAGGTAGCATTCAGCAGGTTCTGACCAGTTCTGGAGAACCGGTAGCAGAAATTTTGAGTAGTTCAGAGAACCAGCAAACACCACCTCTGACTGGAGATTTTACAGTATCCTTCCCCTGCCACGCCCACCAAGCCACGCCCACAGAACCGGTAGTAAAAAAAAAAAATGGAATCCCACCACTGGTGCAGTTTGATCTACTGTGTGTATTTTTGCTCCGACACACTAGTAATTTCATTACATTAAAAGCCGTGAAAAGCATGGAACGGTATTGAAAGGACAGAGGAAAGGACATTTTGTGTACTTTACAACTTTAATTATACATGCATTCAGATATTGAATAATCAAGACTGGGTCTAAATATGACTCCCTTGTCCTGGCATCACCCAGAACGTTTCCACCCCCTGAGTTATAACGTTCTCTATCCTTGAGTCAATCAAGACTATGCTCTCTGAACGGTGGGCCTCATATCTGTCATCTTCATCCATCCAGCCGTGTCCCCAGGAAAAGAAGCTAGCAGGGAATCCAGCAAGACGCTAAAGTGCTGGGGAATAGAAATAGAAAGACGATGGGCTACGGTTTTTATTGGCCAACTTGAAGTCCTGTAGAAAAAGATGTGGAAGCATCAGATACCCCATGTCTGCCCGAAGAACAGGGGTGTCAAACTCAAAGGCCTGGGGGCTGGATCCAGCCTGAGGGGTGCATAGATCGGGCCTGCAGGGTCGCCCTGGAAACAGCGAAGGACCAGTCCGCGGTGTCTCTGCCAGCAAAAACAGAGCTCGGGAGGGCCACGGGTACCCTATGCGAGCTCCATTTTCGCTGGCAGAGGGTTGCAGGAGGCCGTCACAGCTGAAAATGGAGTTCGGGAGGCCGTTTTCGCTGGCCGAGCGCTCAGGCCATCACAGGCACCCCTGACACAAGTGACATCATGCTGGCCGTGTCCCCTAGCCACGCCCCCAGGTCAAAAAACAAAGCTTTGGTATGGCCCTCAATGAAATTCAGTTTGCACCCCTGCTGTAGATGGTTGGATTGTCTACTATTGACCTCACCCCTTTCCTAAGGGGGCCTGCATAAGGTCACCAATGTGCCTACCGCCCCATCCTACTGTTGATGTATTCATAACTATGTTTATTACTTATACCTGTTACCTTATAATCGCTTGACAAAATAAATAAAATAAATAAATAAATAAATAAATAAATAGTTTGAAATGATCCTCCCCCAGAGACGGGCTGCTGCCAGTTCACACCGGTTCTGGTGGACCAGTAGCTAAGATTAAGCGCAGTTCGGCAAACCGGCAAATCCCATCACTGGCTGGCCCTGCCCCCGCCCATTTTGGGGCCATTTTCAGGCTGTTTTCCAGGCCAAAAATGGCCTGAAAAATGGCCTGAAAATGTCCCAAAGAACAGTCCAAAAACTGCCCCAAACCAGACTGGTTTTTAAACCATTTTCAGGCCAAAAACAGCCTTAAAATGGCCCCCAAAACAGCCTGAAAACAGCTGAAAAATGGGTGGGGCTAGCCAGTGGTGGGATTAGCCCCAACTGGCTGAATCGTTGAGGTGAGTGGCCAGCAGGTGGGGCTGGATCTGATGACTGACATCACCCAGCCAATCACATGACCAACCAGCCATGCCTACCCAGCCAGAGAACTGGTTGTTTTGAAGTCAAAATGCACTCAGGCAGGAAGTAACCTACCGTGATCTATCAGGTTGCTACTGTATTTCAAGAAAGGGCCAGCCGAGATGATGGCTGATGGAGGCTTCCTTCCTACAATCACAGAGCCCGGTGAATGGCAGTTCTGAAACAGGGAAAATAAAAATACCGTTATCTTGTTCAAGAGAACTGCGTACCAATGCCATACAAGTAGTCCTTGATTTACAGCAGTTCATTTGGTGACCGTTCAAATGGCCCTGGAAGGAGCGACCTATGACCATTTTTCACTCTTATGACCATTGTAAAATCCCCATGGTCATGTGATTTATTCAGATGAATGACAACTGGTTCATATTTATGATGGTTTCAGTGTCCCAGCTTCATGGGATTCCCTTGGGCGACCTTCTGACAAGCAAAGTCAACGGGAATTGCCAGATTCACTTAACAACTGTGTTCCTAGTTCAACAGCTTCAGTGATTTGTTTAACAAATGTGGCAAGAAAAGTCATAAAATGGGCCAAGACTCACATAGCAAATTTCTCACTTAGCAACATAAATGTTGGGCTCCATTGTGGTCGTAAATCGAGGACAACCTGTATAGGTTAGGTCTGCTGCCTCACTTTATGTTCCATGTGAACTAAGAAGGAGCTTGGCTAAGCTGTTTTCACAAATTATTTCCTTGGTCCAGGCTCGAGTTCCTCTAATATCTCACCACGGCCTTGGTGGCAGCCCTTCCTCCTGTGCTTCAGAGCCAGGGCATGGGGCAACTTGCTACAGCCAACTTGCTGTGGCCAACTCACCATGGCCAACTCACTATGGCCAACTCACCATGGTCAACTCACCATGGTCAACTCGCCATGGCCAACTCACCATGGCCAATTCACCATGGCCAACTCACCACAGCCAACTCACCATGGCCAACTCATCATGGTCAACTCACCATGGCCAATTCATTGCAGCCAACAAATTATGGTCAACATGTTGTGGCAAGTTGGTCATGGTGAGTTGGCCGTGTCATAGACCCAGCCAGGAAATGGAACAACTTGGACCATGCTCTATGCACTCTAGAAGAACTCTGGCTTGGCCCTACAACCTCATGTTTTGGGGTCAAATCAAGCTAAGAGCGATGGAGTGCATAGACTCTTTTGAGCCCACATTTCTTCATCACATCCCATAGCTCAGGGGGTGTGCAACCTTAAACACAAAGAGCCATTTGAACCCGTTTCCCACAGAAAAGAAAACACCAGAAGCCAATAATTTAGCAACCGGTGTGACTGGGTAGGCATGGCCAACTCAACGTCACTCACTTCCACCCAGTCACCTGTCAATATGGAGCAAGTCTCCATCCCCTCACCATCAGCCTTACCTTCTCAGGCCAGGCAAGGAGTGACAGGGAGGGGCCAGCCAGTGGTGGGATCAGCCAACAGGGAGCTGCAGCAGAAGGCTGAAAGAGCTGCATGTGGCTCCAGAGCCACAGCTTGCATACCCTGCCATAGCTGAAACCCCACTAGGAAAGCATTCACCCTAAATCACTGCACTTCTTAAATAAATCATGCGGCTGTTAAGGAACAGGCATAAGAAAGAATTAGATTCTTTCTCATTTTTCCCATTGCAAACCAACCAGGCTTTTCTCCTACAATGTCAAAGAGAAGACCTCATCTACCCATTTCTCCTCCCTCTCTCACCACGGTGCATTTGGCCATCCAGAAGTTGCAGAGGCGGATGCGACAGTGTAGGAAAACTTCTTCAGAATCCGCGATGAAGGTGAAAACATTGAAGGAGAAGCGGCCCAACAGAGATACTCCATCCTCTTCAACTCGGACAGTGTCATCTTGAGGGTTGGGACACCTGCAGAGGGAAAGGTAAGATCAGACAAGAGGTGGTATTCAGCAGGTTCTGACCAGTTCTGGAGAACCGGTAGCAGAAATTTTGAGTAGTTCAGAGAACCGGTAAATCCCACCTCTGACTGGCCCCGCCCCCATCTATTCTCTGCCTCCCAAGTCCCAACTGTTTGGCTGGGTCTCCTTTGGTTGCCCTGCAAAGGAGAACGGAGCTACAAAGCAGGTTAGTGGGGTGGGGAGGGAATGGGGATTTTGCAGTAATCTTCCCCTGCCACACCCACCAAGGCACGCCCACCAAGCCATGCCATGCCCATCACACCCACCATGGTGCAAAACTTTACTTAATAACGGTTTCACTCAGCAACTGAAATTTTGGGCTCAGTTGTGGTCATGTCGAGGACTATATGCATAAATCAAGCCAAAAGCAGATTATTCTTAGTACTGCAACTTTGTTTGTCAGTTAGCTTCTGATGCCAGTAATTAGGAATCTTGTTATTACTATCTCAAAGGCAACCAATGCTGTATCTCCTCAATTTTCTGTATTTCTTCTTCCCCCTCCCCAAATCTTTGGGGTGACTTTGAATGATTGACCCCATTAAGCAGAAGGATGAGAAACACCTGCTCTTTCAGATGTCACTAAATGACCTCCCATCCTTCACTACTGGGGATGCTAGTGGGGGAGACAAGAAGTCTTCTCCCTTCCAAACTCTGTTTCCTTTCAATTCCCATGAACAGCTTACTGGTTGGTGATGAGATCCCACTGAATGCTGGAGGAAGGATCTCTGTCCGGCGTGGCCCAACATGAGGACAAGGTGACCACAAATTGCGTAGGGTCAGCTCCCAAAATCTTGATGCCCACATAGGCCCTGTGGTTGACCATGAGCACAATAGGGCTTTGGGTAAACGGTTTGCTGTACTGGGGATCTTGGTACAAGGTCATGATGGCCTGGTAGTTGCCTTGGCCAGAGGAGACGGTCATGTTAATGATGCTACCAAAGGAATAAAACAGAAGAGAATTATAATGGTTTTTGACAAAGGTTTGGAGGAAGCATTAAGGGAACATCACAGGTTCTCAGAAATAGTTGTGTTGTAGGACAAGTGGACAACATCACTTGTGTTGTAGGACGATGTAAGTGATGGGAGAGAGGCAAGAAGAAAATGGTTAAGAAATAGCAGAATGGAGGTCTTGGTGGGACAGGGGTGGGCAACTATGGCCCTTTTATGAATTATGGACTTCAACTCCCAGAATTCCTGAGCAAGCCATGCTAGCTCAGGAATTTTGGGAGTTGAAGTCCACAAGTCATAAAGGGGCCATAGTTGCCCACCTCTGTGGTGGGACCTTTGGTTAGATCCTGTAGGGTTGGCTGAACACTCATATAACAATTCTAAAGCAATATTTCCATATATAAATTGTACAGGAATAAGGAGATCCTGGATCAAATTCTGAGTCTTGTTTTATGGATGCTTAAGGCTAAGCTAAATGTCTGGGCAAGAACTCAAAACACTAACTTTGCTTAAACTAAACTTCTCTGGTGAAGCACCAATGCTTCTCTCTAGCATGAAAGCACGACTTGAATTTGTTATGGACCAGGAGTATGCTGAAAATGTGGTTATTGATCTTAGGATACACGGAACAATTTATGGTCCTTGAGAAATAGACACTTCATACCACACTTAACCAGGTCAGTTATAAACCTAGTAATTACATTTGTATAACATACTAAGGCTTCACTGTGATTAGATCAGTATTTCTGGGCGACTTTAAGATGTGTGGATCTCAGCTCCCAGAATTCCTCAACTTGTCAAATCTTAAAGTTGTCAAAGTTGAGAAAACCTGGGTTTGACTTTTTGTTATTCATCTGTATCTCAGGCTGTTTGATTAGATTATGATTCAATTTCTTGAGTAACCTCCAAGTTAGCCAACCAAGTAATCAAGGAAGCAGGATCTGTGAATGCCACCAATGTATTTTTACATCAGTTGTAATGCATTTACAACCCATTGCATTACAGTACATGGGTTTTTAATCCTATGTACCGCCTAGAGATGCCATGCCTCACTGGTGGTTATATCCATATCATAAATAATTCTAAGCAATGAACGAGTGCTCTATTTTTTTCCCAGATTCCTAAAGAAAGGAATGGGTTATTTTTGAGGAAGATCTGCCACCCAGTGGTAGAGAAGGAAATACTAACCACAATATGGAACGATTTGAGGGGGTTATCTACTCAACGTGGACATGTTGACTTTTCACCTTACTGGTCTCATTGCTATCAAAAAAAAAAAAAAAATTCAGTGCTGTGATCTGAAGTAGGGTGCATGGCTGGAGGCCACAGGATAGAAACTAGACAGGGTCATACAGACCACGTACCACTCAGGGTTCTAGAATGTGGGGTGTGGTAGGATGGGGGAAGGGGAGAGAAAAAAGATGTGGTAGGAAACAGCAAATAAAAAGATTCTTTTTTTGCAAATGGAAGACACCAGGAAAGTTGAATCAAAGGACACAAAAGTAAACGGTGTGGTAAGGTGTGGGGGGGCTTTAATAAGGGGAAGAATGCACGTATAACTGCTGCCCTGGGAAACTTGTCCAGCGTGAACTCACTCGTGGATGGGATAAATCACAGAGGCCATGGAGAGGTTGATGTTTAGGGGGAAAGCACAGGAGAAACGCAGGAAAAGAAACCGGTCTCGGCTGATCATCCCGCCATAGGTGTTCTCCAGATGACCCTGCACTACGTTGGTGTAGATAGCATGGGTAGAATTTACCTGGAAAGAGCAGGAGAAAAAAAAAAATTGGGAGGGGAAAAAAAACAGAGGACAAGGTCTTCTTACTGCAACATTGTTGTCTAGGAATACGTTAATCAAGGAATAGGAAATTCATTTACAGGTAGACTTCAAGTGACCACCAATTAGGACTGGCATTGTTTATTGTTAAGTGATGTTGTTGTTGCACCTGATTTTACCGCCTTTTTTTTTGTCATGGTTGTTAAGCAAATGATGAACCCGTTAAGGAAATTTGACTTCCCCGTTGATTTTGGTTGTCAGAAGACCCCTTAAAAGATAAAGGTTCCCCTCACACATTCGTGCTAGTGGTTTCCGGCTCTAAGGGGTGGTACTCATCTCCGTTTCAAAGCCGAAGAGCCAGCGCTGTCCAAAGACATCTCCGTGGTCATGTGGCCGGCATGACTAAACACCAAAAGCGCATGGAACGCTGTTACCTTCCCACCAAAGGGATCCCTATTTTTCTACTTGCATTTTTTTACATGTTTTCAAACTGCTAGGTTGGCAGAAGCTGGGACAAGTAACGGGAGCTCACTCCATGACGCAGCGCTAGGGATTCGAACCACTGAACTGCTGACCTTTCTGATCGACAAGCTCAGCATCTTAGCCACTGAGCCATTGCATCCCTTTGAAGTCCCTTAGAAGATCATTAATGGTGATCCCAGGACAGTACAAATGTCAAAAATTCATGCTGGTTGCCAAGCACCCAAATTCTAATCCCAGGACTGTGGGAATGCTGCCATGCTTGTGAATGCAAGGTTAAGACATAAGTCACTTTCTTTAGAACCCTTTTAACTTTGAACAGTCCATAATCAAATGGTCATAAATTGAGGACTACCTGTATTCTATTCATCTGGTTTGAATTTTGCAAAAGCCTTGTCTAGAAGTCTCCTTAACTGCCCTTCATCTTATCCTTTCGACAGCAGGCTCTTCCAACTAAAGACGCAACTATTTTGGTGCAAGCTCTCTGTTTCAGGTGCTTCCTGGGCTTCCTACCTCCATTTGGGTCCCACAGGTTTTCTGCACCGTGTCAAAGTAGAAGACAAGTCGGTCTCCAACTAAGGATCCCGTGCAACTGAGGTCAGCCAAGTGGAGTCTTTCAGCAGGGAATCCGTCGGTGAAAAGAAGGCAGCGGGAGAGAGCAACCATACTTCTGCTGTTCGTGCAGGTCAGCTGGTAATCTGTAGGAAGGAAGAATATAAAGTGATATTTGGCTTAACAGAATGGTAGAGTTGGAAGAGACCTTGGAGGTCCTCTGGTCCCAATTCTGAGGCACACC